GCTATAGCCCCATACTCTTAAATCCCTATTTCCTTAACCCTCGAACTCTGTAATCTGTGACGCTATAACCGTAGACCCTTATACCCTAATTTCCTTAATCCTCGAGACTGTAACCTGCGACGCTATAATCCCAGACTCTTAATTTCCTTATTAAGTTAGTATCATAACCTCGGTCATACGATAAAATTACCTGGTAAGCCGCTTTCATTTTTGTGACGTTATTCACGGAGAGTTTTTCTAAACAGTTTCCAAACACTATTTTCACGACTACCTTTGCAGGGAGGATTTGTCGACGAACAGTTTTCATCAGTCGTTTTCACGACTCTGCTCTTGGTGAGTTCTTCTTTGGAGTCTTTACAGACGTTCTGATAGCTACCTTGAATTGTTTATAGTATATTCTAAAAGTCATTTTTACATTTTCGTTTTCTTTATAATGGACGTTCATAGGTGTTATAAATGACTCAGACAGTTTTTGTTACATCTGCGGTCGTTTTATGTTTTCGAAGCAAAAAATTTACATTAATGAAAACGTCAAACAGTTTTACAAGAGATATTTCAATATATTGATTTCAAGTTAAGATAAACCTTGGGTTCCACACAAAGCTTGTAGATCCTGTGTTGAAACTTTAAGACGCTGAAAAAGTGGCTCAGATACAGTTACACCCATGTCTTTCAAAACACAAATGTTATGGCGGGAGCCTTTTAGTTTTAGACTGCTATATTTGTTTAATTAAAACTACTGGCTTTAATTCTAAAAATTCTCATAAAATAGTGGATCCAAATATATTAAGTGTCACGAAATCTGTGATGATGAGACCTGACGATATCCTTCCTAACCCTCCAAGTTGGAAGAAAAATGCTGATACTAATAAGGGTGGTGAGAAAAGAGATCTCCAAGAGTCTGCAGATAGATTCTTATGATTATCAAGATTCTAAATCTCTACCGATTCTTTTTGATCAAGCTAGACTAAGTGACTTAGTCCAAGATTTAGGCTTGCCCAAAGACAAATCTGAACTATTGGGTTCACAGCTAAAAGAGAGAAATCTTCTTGCCTCTGAAACTACATTTTCTTGGTACAGATATCGAGAATAGTCATTTACTCCGTTCTTTTCCCAACGTGAGAACTATGTTTATTGCAATAATGTTCTTGGTTTAATGCAAAAATGTCTAATGAAATATGATCCTGCTGATTGGAGATTGTTTATCGACTCCTCTAAAAGAAGTTTGAAAGTAGTTTTGTTACATAAGTCTATGTATGCTTCTTTGCCTATTCTCATTCCTTGCCATTCCTGCTCATTGCGGTTCAATGCTTTCACTTGAAAGAGATGTATGAAAATGTAGATATTATTTTCCAAGCCATTCAATATGAAAATCACAATGGGATGTATGTGGAGATTTGAAAATCGTTGGTATGCTTCTTGGACAACAGTCAGGGCTTACAAAACACCCATGTTTCATATGTTTATGGGATAGCAGAAAAAGGCAGCAGCACTATGTTAAAAAGGATTGACCTACTCGTACTTCCTTAAAAAAGGCGATTCTAATATATTAAAAAATCTATTGATTGATGCAAAAAAATACTACTACCGCCACTACATATCAAATTAGAACTAATGAAGCAATTTATGAAAGCTCTTGCTAAAAATAATGCTTATTTCAAATACCTCATTGAAAAATATCCTAACCTGACTAATGCAAAGATAAAAGAAGGTATATTTGTAGGGCCTCAGATTCGTGAATTATTTAAAACAGCTAATTTTAAAAAGGTGATGAGTGTAAAGGAAAAAGAAACCTGGATAAGTTTCAAAAACGTTGTGAATAAATTTTTGGATAACAAAAAAGCTCTTAATTATCAAGAGCTGATAAGTGAAAATGCTAAGAAGCTTCAAAAATTTAGGTTATAATATGAGCATAAAGGTCCACTATTTGCATTCTCATTTGGGTTGGTTTCCTGAAAATTTAGATGATGTTAACGAAAAGCAGGGTGAGCGTTTTCATCAAGACATAGCAGAAATGGAAAGGTGTTATCAAGGAAAAGATCTACAGCTGTGCTAGTTAACTATTGCTGGTCACTTCCATGCGATGAGTCACCTAAACAATATAAAAAGCGATCTGGCACAAGATCTCTCGAACAAAAGCAAAAGAGATTTCACAAAAGTCAAGAAAATTAGATGTACAAATTAGATTAACATTTATACATTAAATAAATTAGACCAACATTTATACATTTATTAACATTAACATTTATACGTCAATAAAATTTAGATAGGCAAATAAAAATTAGATTAACTACAGTCGTACGCTTAAAAATTTAGTGCTCCGGGATAAAAAATATTGTTTCAAGGGTAACATATGTGGTTATTTTCTGCGTATCTAGTATCTAAATCCGATCTTCCTTACTTCTAATCATTATTTCCGTGACATAATTGACCGTAATGTCTATGCTTATAAATTTTTCTAGATTCTGTGTCTATCCTCATTCTAATTACGGATACTCAAAGAAGGTGCGCTCTAGGCTGTACCTTCCGCGACCACAGAGTACGCAGTATGGAGACCTAATCGCTCTCCGCCATCTATCGCTCCTTCCTAGCATCAAACGTCTCATCACTTTCCACCCTAGCTGACCATACCCTGTTTTCGTTCCTGCATCTCTTGTATATCCTCTTACGCTGGCAAGTTAGAAAATTTAAATGGGTTACGACTACGACCACCAGTAAGGCATCTTTAGAAACCGTACAGTATGCATTTGTTTCTCTCAGGCCGCCTTATCATTGAAGCTCCGTCAGACCATCTCAGTACTTACCTCTTCCACCGCAGCGGAAAAAGGAACGTAGAGTCTAAGTTATAGCGTCATAGCTTACAGGATTCAAAGGTTGAGGATATTATGGCACAAGAGTATAGGGTTACAGTGTCGCAGGTTACAGGACTCAAGAGATAAAGCAATTAGAGTATAAGGGTCTGGAGTTATAGCGTCACAGGTTATAGGGTTCGAGGGTTAAGAAAATAGGGATTTAAGGGTCTGGGGCTATAGCGTCGTAGTTTACAGTGCTCGGGAATTCTGAAAATAAGGGTATAAAGACGTGAGTTTATAGCCTTGCATGTGTCATATGTACGCATCCGGAAAAATGGCTATTTCGGAACTGTTAAAATTTTTTATTCCAATCAAATCTTAATAAAAATATCTTAATAAAAAAAAAAGATATCTCAAATCTTGAATATAGAATTTAAAGGGTATACCTTTTAGATGGTTTGTCCCGTTTTCAGAAAAAAACTTTTGCCACGTTATTATGGGACCTCAAATATACCAAAAAACTGCCTTTTTTACCTTTGAGGTTAGGATATCTAAAAACCTGACATGATGGACAAATTCTGATTTCAGAATCGAATTCTAAGCAAAAAATTACTTCGGAAATGACCTTTCGTTGGCCAACAACAAGACCATGCAGATCTGTGTAATGATTCAATAATTCGGCATTAATGTACATTAACGATGTAACGGAGAATCTCGGCTAGGCCGATTTCGTCCGTTTGGCTTTCGCAAATGTCCGTGCGCCGCGCCAAGCTGAGAGTATGTGCGTGTGGTACACACACTCATGCTTGAGTTTGTGTTGACGAGGTGCTGTACACGGGAGGAGCTGACGACTGGAGCGATGGAGATGGCGCAGAAGAAAGGAGAGAGAGAGAAAGAGCGCTCGAATTGCAGATCGCCGCGGAAAATTTGAGAGTCTCTGCTAGGCAGTAAGCAAAGGAAGTCGCTCGCGTGGATTAAACCGAAGGTCACGGTTTTCCGAAGTTGACCCCGCGACCTCGTCGACGATTGTTAGTTTTCGGAGAGACGCCCGGTGCGCGGACGAGTATTTGTGTGTGAGGCGCTCAGCTGTGTCCCAAAGGATACCCGGCACCGGTGCGTGTGGGTAACCGGCGAGGTGTGCGGGTGCGCGCGCGAATAGTTTGGACGTGCTGCAGTACCGAGCAACAGAGAGACGGCAGAGACAACAGCAACAGCAATTAACGAGCGAGTTACGGATTGAGGCAGTAGCATTGTGGAGCGAGCGATAGGACGAAAAAAAGATAAACAGCTACGACAACAAACATCAGCGAGACGGTCAGCGAGGAGCACACGAGTGACGTCACACTGCGGAGCGCTCTAGCTGTCAGAAAGGCTGAAGGTTGAGGTCGGTGCCGTGTTTTTCTCTTGTTTCTCTCTCTGTTGCATGTTTGGGCGCCAGCTTATGGGTGGTAGCACGGCAGACCTGCTGGTTGACCCGTTGATAGTTTAACGGCGGAAAGTGTTTTGTCGGGTATGTATTATAACATTTAGTTTTAACAAGGGAATCGGCAGGCTGACCAGCCACCGATTAACCTTCGCGTTCGCATTTGTTATTGTGCCGCTCGTAGTGTATAAGCGCGAGATCACCGTCTGGTAACCTATTGTTGACTATTAAAGGATTAGTGTGTTAATCCGCTGTTGTGTTTATTCGCCGCTGTATCACTCCTCATCCCGATTTCGAATCTATGCGTTTAACGTGTTTATGCTCGACGCATTATTCAGTCGTGGGAACGTCTTTTGTTTCCCGAATTCCCAAATAAATAATTTGTGCGGACGGCCGCGAGTTACACAGGTGGGAACGACCCATACTCCGTTACACCTCTAGTAATTTTTTCAGTTAAATACGCAATTTCAAGAATTAAAATATCATGGCTCGTCACTTAATAATAAATTTAACAAATTTTCAGGTCTTACGAATTCATTATAAAAATTCTGACAATAATTAAAAAAATAACATGTAGTATATTGAAAAGTAAACAATAATTGACAAGCAATTATTATTTACCAGAGAAATGGTTTGAATTTTTATGAAATGTGTGAATGTGTCAGTATGCATGTGGCTGATTGTTCCGTACATAATAAACTCATTTCACCAATCATGTTAGAAAACTGTAAAATATAAAATATAACTATACTAATAAACTATAAAATATAAACAATAAAACTTACCTCTTGCAAGCTTAGATTACAATAATCGTCTCTTATTTGAAAATATAAACCAAGTATTCCAGCTAAAGGTGTAAAGTCTTCTTTACAATCAGAAAAAATCTGCATTAGCCGCACAGCTAAATTAAATAAACCTCCGGTTTCTAAATCATAATTGAAAATATTTGAATATTATTTTTTGTTTTAATTTAAATATGAATTTTTGAAGAATCTTTCATGTATATTCATTTTTCTTACTGCGGATAGTCATAGCTTTATATTCAGCTTCCGAAGGACATATAAAATTATCTCTCCAAAATATTTCCATTCCTTGACCTCTATGTAGTTCTAAAAGTTGTTCAGTATATACTTGAGTTGCCTAAGATTATAATTAAACCATATTTATTTTTCAACATAACTATATGAGCCGTTTATTTTGAAAGTGACCTAACTCCGTTTTTCAATTTTCTGCCGCTTACAATGGTTACATGTACAACTTCATGTTATTTATCAGTGACGCACTTCAGATTGCTTATATTCAGAGAAAATACGATACATTTTTTACACATACGTTTTCCGAATTAATTGAATAACTGAGCCGTGTAGTTTGAAAATGGCCTAACTCCATTTATAGTTACATCAAGATATTTACTATTGAAATGTCGGAAAGCAGCGATGAAGGTAATTTCAATTAATTAGTATTTATAAGTTAACCTCATTTTTGGGACAACTGCGTTAGTTCATTAATCTGTACGTTTAATTAAAATAAAACTTAAAATTAAATATTAAATTATAGAAATTATTGCACCTATGAGGAAGAATAGAAGAAGACCACTTAGTTCAGATAGTGAAGAAGAAAATGTAATTAATAATTTAAAAAAAAGCGAATAAGAAAAAGAGTTATAGAACAATATTCGTCGTCAGAGGATGAAGATTCGTATAACAATGGAGAAAAGATTGATGCACCATATATCCAAAAAGTGCGAAAGCTTAAACGGAATTCAGGAAAAAGATATTACAGTCAAACCGGAAATATTGTTCATGAAAAAATTTTCGAAAACAAAGATTGTGGTTGTCGGAATGCTTGCACAAAAAATTACAATGAAGAAGAAAGAAAGAATATTTTTGAGAAATTTTGGGATCTGGCAGATTTTAACAAACAAAATATATTACTTCACGAAGCTGTCGAGCGCAAAATTGTAAAACGAAGACGTCCAACAAACGGAAAAGGATCACCAAGAAATTTTAGTTTTAGATATTTATTAAATTCTAAAAACGGAATAATTCCCGTCTGTAAAAAATTCTTTTTGGATACTTTTAAAGTAAGCGAAGGACGCTTGAAACGAGTACTAAACTCTGCAAATGTGGGCAATGATATGCGTGGGAGGATGGCTGGATCATCAAGACAATTACCTGAAGAAGCGAAAAAGCAAGTTCAAAACCATATTAAAAGTTTCCCTAATTTTGAATCCCATTATACCAGATCTCATAATCCTAATAGAAGATATCTACATCCATATCTAACTATCAGGAAAATGTTTAATTTATACGAACTTCATTGCGAGGAAAATGGAATAAAAGCCGTTAATGAGTGGACTTATAGGAAAATATTTAAAAAATATTTTGATTTATATTTCCACCAACCGCGCAAAGATACATGTCAAAAATGCGACTTATTAAACATTAAAATAAAAGCATTGAATAATGAAGAAGAAAAGAGTAAACTCACCGAAGAACACGATGTCCATTTAAGACTAGCAGAATCAGCTAGGAATTCACTAAAACAAGCTCAGGAACAAGTATCACATAAACCAGATTATTATTTTACTTTCTCGTTCGACTTACAAAAAGCACTACCGTATCCCAAGCTGACTACCTCAGTAGCTTATCACAAACGCAATATGTATATTCTAAATTTTGGTATACATAATTTTCATAACAATAATGTTGACATGTACGTTTGGGATGAAACTATTGCATCCAGAGGTGCTCAAGAAGTTGTTTCATGCATTTTAAAACATATTAAAAAATTAAGAAGTGAAAGACACATCATAGCTTACAGTGACATGTGCACCGAGCAAAATAGAAACATTAAAGTAGCTTTAATGTGGTTGAAAATTGTCCAAGCTTTGGATAATAATGTAGAAATTATAGATCATAAATTTTTAATATCAGGTCATTCGTTTTTACCAAATGATAGAGATTTTGCCGTAGTAGAAATGGCATTAAAACAGTATAATTTACTGTACGTTCCCCAAGATTATTACAAGATTATTAAAAAGTGTCGGAAGGGTAATAATTTTATGCTCAATGAAATGAGACAGGAAGATTTTGTATCGCCAAAATTATTAGAAGACGCAATTTTTAAAAGAGTAAAAAATTCTGATGGAGAATCACTAAACTGGTTAAGAATATGTTGGATGCGTTTTGTAAGAAATGAACCATATAAAATTTTTTATAAGACATCCATGAATGAAAATGAAAATTTTAAAGTTCTGAATTTCTTACCACGTCGGGGTAGACCAAAAAGGTTCGAAAATATTGCATTGGCACCATTGTATAAAAATATTAGGCAAGTTACAACAGCAAAATTTAAGGACATGATTGACCTATTACGATACATACCACCAGAACATCATGATTTTTTCAAATCCCTTTCACACGCACAAAATGTAGATGAATAATAAATTGTTTTGTAATAAATTTATGTTTGTAATTTTCTATGTTCTGTAATTAAAAAATGTTTTGAATCGCATAAATTATGTTTCTAAAGTGTTTTCAACATATGCAAAACAAATTCCGTATTCTTTTTTTTTCAATTTGAAACATCTTAAATTATGTTAAATGGACTTGGGCACCTTCAAATTTTAGAATGAATCTGGCTGTTAATTTCGAAAGTGGCTTAACTCCATTCTTGATAAGAAAACGCACGTTATTTACTTAATAATTGCCACTATTGTAACAGGAACTTTAAATTTAACATCCTTATATACGCTTAAGCAGTATGACTCCTTAGTATCTTATACGTATATTTTTAAATTCATTCTAACGTAAAACTTTCAATATCTCGATTTGAAGATGAATGGAGTTAGGCCACTTTCAAAATAAGCGGTTCATATCACTTTTTTATTAATATTACTTATGATTTTAAAAACCAACCTCATGACGATTAAGAGTAAGAACCTTTTCTAAGGCAATAAATAGTACATAGTTAGCTGCATTTATTGTACTGGCAACACCATAAATCGAATGAGCTACAGGTATCCCTCGTCGGAGTATGGAATTGTCTTGAATATCATCAATTCTAAAATATAAACAAACATCAATAAAAATTATACATTATAAAAATTATACACTATAGTTATAGAGCAAAATATCTAACAATAGACTAGAATTATGTAGCATTTGAGTTATGTCTCCAACAGCTTGAAGTTTTTCCATCGGTATCTTCAGCCAAAAATTAAAACCATGAGCTAATTTTCCTCTAATTTGTTTTCCTGGGACTTGAAGAATGTAAGTAAATGGTTGCAGTATTTTCTAAAAACATTAAAAAATATTTTTTTAATTTCAAGTTCGAAATATATGTCACTTCGATTTTGTTTAAATGTTATATATCTATTAAAAATTCAGACTTTACAAGTAGCTTAATATCATAGGTTAATGAAATATATTTAGTTTGAAAATGAGATTTCACACAACTATTTTAATATAATCAAGTATGCATATGGACTATTTTTGACCTAATTTTGAGAAAAATCTAATATGCTAAACACGATTGAAATCCAATGAGAACTATAAAAGTTTTCACCTTAATGAAGCCGTTGTTGGCTTGATTAATCGGGGCGAAACGTTTACAAAATTATTTAAAAAGAGACGAGCTCAGTGTTCACGAATACCTCACAGCTAGCAACAATACAACGGACTCTGGTATTATTCGCGATATCGAATATCTTGAAGATAAAGTATACTCATTACAAATAACAAACCGCACATTAAAGAAAACATTATTTATTTTCGAATAAATTGCACAATTTGTCACGCGCGTACAAAATAGCGGCGTGCCGGTGCGCAATCGCCTTGCGAGTCCGATAGCTAGCAATACTGTTCCACTGCAACGACTCGCACAACGCACAACACACACACTCGGCAGACCGAAAGAGCTAATTTCCCCATTACAGATTGTAACGGGGTGAGAATTCGTTTTTTCTTTATTTCGCTCGACACACAATCGTACCGGAATGCGCGCGGCGAAATCGAAATATTCGCGTTTGTTAACCGGAGAACAGGAGGGAACGGGAATCAGTCAACCAACTTATTACTAATGACGACAATGAATTTCCGTTTCAATTAAATGTGAGTTAGTTTATTTCCTGTTAACTCTACAAGACGCTTGACCCGCGTGTTTATATTTATACGGCGCGCGCGACAATAACATGCATCGCTAGGTCGATTACAGTTCTTTGTTCGCAATGTTAAACCACATGCACGCTACTGATTTTTATAGAATCATCGATACGAGGGGAGAATAATCAATCGCGGTCGTTTGTCGGAAATCGCGATGTAAAGCTGGCCAGCTTACCTTAAATACACGGTCGCACTATTAGGGGGGAACAAATCAGTATTGCCGCTTCCGGTATTTTAGGTTATTGTCTCTGTAATTTTCCTCGTTGTCTTGTCGACTTCGTAAGAGGAGTTCCGCACCCTCGTGGTCGCCTATGATGGCGAAACTTGTCAGCTGGTTCACTTCCGCACTCTTTTTTTGATATTGGTGTTCACGTCTTATTCTTCTGAGCAGCTAGATTCTCGGATGGTTAATCCTCGACTGGTTCTTTTACCTTCGCGCACGTTCCGTCCCGTCTCGTACAGAGTTCCCGTTTTTCGTTTTTCCCGGCCGGTAGGTGCTGCCCTCGTAGGCAGTTACGGGATTGAGACGATAGCGCAAACAAGACGTTTACCGTCACAAGATCTCTTAAATCTAACCTTCATTTTTTTTTCCTGATTTCGCATGTCAAGATAATAAAATTAAAAGTTATACAATAAATGAAAATAACTATCATTTAATATAAATAAGTAAATGAGTGCTTCAGAGTCTTTGGCATTAAACATGTTATCCTTTGTAGATTTTAGAACACTATTACTTAATTTATAACACTAACTATCTCGATGTATCGAGAGATGATTGAGTTAACATATAAAGCAAAAAGAAGTCGAGGGTCGTGTTCCTTAGAAGAAAAGAATATAACATTTTGATTGGATAATAGAAAGCTATTTTCTGACAATAACTGTGAGATAATATCTGTATTACTCTACAGACATCTGCGTAAGTTTAGCTTCAGGTTAAAAATATTGATCTATACTTACAATTAGTTTGATGCGAATTTTATCCTATTACATATCTTATGTCAAAATAGTAAATAAATGCATTGCATAATTTGACTAAATTAATAATATTTTCATAAATGTATAGAAGAATTGAATGTTATTGATTATTAGTATATCCTATGTCAAAATAGTAAACAAATGCATTGCACAATTTGACTAAATTAATAATATTTTCATAAATGTATAGAAGAATTGAATGTTATTTATTATTAGTATATAAAATTAATCCTTAACAGTATAAGGAAGATATGAAAATTAAAAACTTTGCAAAATTTCAAATAATGAATGAAACTACTATAAAAAATAAAATTATTTAAAGATGCAAAAATTTTTATAGTTGTAGTACAATCCTTAACGAATCTCTAAGTATTATTAAAAAAATTCATTCTATGGGCTTATATGAACTCACCTATATATTGTTATGGGAAGAATAAATTAATATTTATCCGCATATGTATTCCCTTAATAAATTAACAATCTTCCATAATGAGAAACCCATATCGTAGGTGGAGTAACGTTACCGTGTGTACGTATATAGTTCCCTGTAGTAATAACGCGTCTTAGTATTAAGTGCCCATGTAAAAAAATTTGATAAGGACTTGATCAAATAAATGACAGGTGGACTTGATCAGGTCCTTATAATGGAATGAGTATATCAAAATTTGATCAATATTTTATCAAATTTGCTCAAATTGGAAATTTGATAATATATTGACCAAGTTTAGATAAAACTTTTTTTTGACGTTGAATTAAGAAACTTGAGCAAATTTTTATCTAATCATGCTCAAGTCTTGCTCAAATTTATTCATACTTCTCTCATAAAAGCTCGGCGAAATTCTCTTTCATTATAGACAATCTTTCCATCTGACCCGATAAAAATTTGCTTTGCTGCAAGTAAAAGTTCAGAGTTTGTAATTCAAGTAATGTTTTTCATTTTAAATAGAGTGCATTAAAAATGAAATAACACAAAATATATGCAAAAATTTATGTATATTGTCTTACAATTTTCTCTCGTACAAGTTGGGAGGTAAGCAAATGTGATCTTGGAATAATAATACTTTACTTTCTATTGTCTGAATAGGTAAAACTAAATAATTGTATGTTAATCGGACGGGTATGAGAACATCACAAATGTTTAATCGTACACGGCGGTGGATTTTATAAGATATTCTTATGTCTCTAACGAGCTCGCGTACAAACGCATACAAACAATCATTGATACATAAAAAGAATTGCACTTCCCCGAATTGGCACTTATTATTCCAAAGTACAACGGAATTATTTCTTTTTGTTTGACGCACATATTGTTTTGAAGTAAATACTTCCTTTTTGAACTCTATTCGAACTTGTATTCTCAATTTGTTTCCATCCAAAAGCAAATCATTTACAGGAATCACGTCTTGACTAAGCAACACTTCGAGTTCATTGTCGTTCAGTTCAATTACCTTTGACAGTCCAAGCACATCAGCACACTCAATTTCATCAACTTCTTCTTCCATTGGTTGTTGAACATTAATCTTCAATTTACTTTTTAAAACTTCATATGCATTAAGCATCTTTATTGAATTTATAATTTCGGCATCCACTTTATTTGGTCCATGATTCATCTTCTTGAAGTAATCATTGCCGTCTTCAAAAGAAAACATCGAATACCCCCAAAACGGACCCCATTCTAGAACGAATTTTGCCATGTGTCGCATTTGATGTGAATTAAAAGAGCATTTTGCTAAACCATACAGGCCTGGCAATTCATCGGCAAAAACTTCGTAAGCAATATCGCCTATGTCAACTTCATTATAATATATTTTAGATTGTAAAAATATTCTGGTGCCATATGATAATAATAAAAAGTGATCGTAGAATTTTTTTGGCAAATATTTTTTCAAAATTATAGGTAAATAATATAAAAGCAAGTCTCTAATTTCTGAACATTTCAAATTTGAAGAATCCTGCAACGTTCTTGGTGTTCTGGCAACATAATCAGGTGGAGTGATTTGTAAAATCATATCGTTGATTTCTCTTTGTGATTGTGGATTTATGTAAAATTCTTGCTGACTATTTTTACTATCAAACCACAGACCAAAAAGTGTATACGTGACACCAGGGAGGAGGATGTGCGCATAATCCGGTGCGAAAGATCTTGCTATGTCAAAATATGGAATTAAAGCTGCAACAGTAGGCCCTTTTACACCCTGCACATGTTCTAAATTGTTATTGATAGCAATTTGTGCTTGCTCAATCATCCTCTCTTGAGTTCTAAGGACTGGTACACTAGTTACTGGTGGATAAATGTGATTATGACCTGAGCCAGTAGCGCACGAACAGCCTTCTTGTTCGCAGTAAGAGCATCCACATTGGCCATTGTACTGCATGATGTTTTGAGCCGCTGCTTTTGCCGGAGCATCCAACGAAGCCAAAGGCGCTATTACTTTACTTTGTAATGTTGTATTAGTCATTTTATCGAACCATTGAACGCCATTTTCAAATAAGTCGTTCAATACAACTGAAAATGGTTTCAAAAAGGAGTTAAGGTTTGGCTTTTTTACCCTACTATAATATATACCAGCTAAAAATTGGAAACTTCTTCTATTTTTTGGAGGTATTTTTAAAATCTGCACTTGTATCGGCCAAATTTGTCCTTTGGAGCTATTTGAAACTGAAGCTCCGTCGGTGTTCCACAGCAAACATAGATCGTAATCACCTTCGATTACTTGACTTTTTAACTTCAAATATTTTTTTCCCGTAGTAATATCACTTATAACATTATTTTCAAAGCTTTCGGCCACTGTTCGTTTGTGCTTTTCGATGAGTTGGCGCAAATCTTTCGATTCGAAGGCATGTTTTAGAGTTTCCTTTAAACTGTATTCTATGAAAACACCTTTGACATTAGTACTATTACATTGATCGCAAATCTGAACGCGTGCTTTTTCGGTTATGTCTCCCAAGTAGTGCAGACAGGTTTCAGAAATTTGATGTTTTCTTATTAAATTATCATGTGGTGATAAAAGCGAAAATAGTAATTGTCTGAATTTATAAAAGCTTTTCGGTAAGTTATTTGGTTTTGGCAAAATACGATGCAGTAACACAATCAAACCTTCAAGCGCTTTCTTCGTTAAACCATTTTCAGTATAATACTGCATTATGAAAAAAAAAGT